CTCTCTCTGACTAACCGTGCCTGCCTTCCTATAAATAAATGAAGAAAGAAAGAAAGAAAAGAAAAAGAAAAAAAGGAAATGTATTAAGAAAATCCATGTTTCTATATCAATTTTAATACTAAAATAATTGTATTTTTAAAAGGAATTTTGCAAATCTTTGAAAAGGACTTTTGTGTAAAATGTCCCCTTAGGGGCCTGTAGGGTGAGAGAAAGGATTAGTTCACACCCTACAGGGCTGACCTCCCATAGTGCATGTTCTGGCCACTCCCCTTCCACTCCAGCTTTCTGCCACTGCACCTGGGAAAGCTGTGGGAATGGCCCAAGTACTCCAGCCCCTGCCCCTCTTGGGGGAGACCAGGATGGAATTCCTGGCTCCTGGGCTCAGCCTGGCCCAGCCCTGCCTGTGGCTCCCAGCTGGGGAGGGAGCCAGCAGATGCAAGACAGGTTGTTGTCACTCTTCCTTCCCAATGAAGCTTTTCACAAAGTACCCGCTCCATTCGTTTGATATTCGTGTTGCTCCCTGGGATTTCTTTGGTTGTATCTGTCAAGGTTGTCTGTCCCCAACACTTGATTTTCCACTCTGATGTTCCTTTGAGTTTGGCTACAAATGTCAACGCAAAGGGTGGGGCAAAATGAAGCTGGCTGTCAGACAGAAACCCAGCTCTGGGATTTCCTGAGCTGAGGGCTGATTGGATTAGAACCTTGCCCAGGTATAAAGCCAGAAGGAAGCGCGGAGAGATGGAGCCTCCTTGCGACTGCAGCGGCCACGGGAAACCACCTCTCTCTGAGTCCTAGAGTGTGTTCACCTGGATCAGGATTTCATCCACGGCAGGTAGCTCAATTTCTTATTCTGTTGGACGATATTTGGTGCCTGTGCTTTTGAGAAAGTCCTTATGCTAAAAGTGTTGAAGACTCAATTTCAACTTTAAAAATGCCTTTGGGAGACGTTTAGCATTGCCATATTTTATCCTAATATGCTTTATATGCATTTTCTTATTTTCTTGTAAAGAGTTACTCCTCTGTGGTTCCTTTTTTGTACCAAGAATAATCTTCGATTCTTGTCATCAGCCGTGTTAGTTGTACTGTCGATAATCATTGCTTCTGTTTATTGTTTTTGGAAACTTACTTTTGCTTTGACACTAATTCATTGACACGCTTGTGGAGTACCTAACTCACTATTTCCAAGCTTGTTTTTCTTCACCCAGTGGCCCCCTCCTTTAGACGCGTGCTTATTTAAGCTTCAAATCTGACAGGAACATCGCCTTTGCAATTCTGTTTGGCTTGATGGTACCTCAGTGGTGATTTGCACCACTTACGATAAAGTATTTTTCGTTCTTTTTTTATCTTTTTAAGATTTATTTAATTACTTGAGAGGCAGAGTTACATACAGACAGAGAGGATGGACACAGAGAGAGGTCTTCTATCTGCTCCTTCACTCCCCAAAAGGCTACAACTGCGGAGTTGGGCCGATGGGAAGCCAAGAGCTAGGAGCTTTGCTCCTGCCTTCCCACACAGGGATGCAGGGGCCCAAGCCTTTGTGCCGTCTTCTGCTATTTCCCAGGCCATCGGAGGGAACTGGATTGGAAGTGGAGCGGTTCTCGAACCGGCGCCCATAAGTGTTGCCAGCAGGCAGGATACTTAACCCGCTCTACAGCTCGGGCCTCTCTCTCTCTCTCTCTCTCTCTCTCTCTCTCTCTCTCATCTATCAATCTTTTTAACTGACTTTGCTTTATCGAAGGAGAAGAAAGTGGCGGGAAGAGGCACGGCTAGGGGTCGGGAGGTGACAGCGCTGAGCAAGACCTGGGCTGAGGACCTCATACGGGGGCGGTGGAGGGAACACCTGGTGCGGGCGAAGGGTTCCGCAGTGGGCGCCGTGGGGTGGGAGAAGGTCGTGGGGCCGGGCAGGTCAGGGCGCTGCGGCCCTAGCAGGAACAGCTGGAGCTGCGCCCTGCCAGCCATGGCAGCCAGGGCCCGCGGCATTGTTGCGACCGCCGGGGGGCAGCAGGGAGCAGTCTGTGTAGGGCTCCAGACTTGGAGGAGGAAGGACTTGGGCGTGTAGCACTGCTCCTGCATGCCATGCACCAGGTGAGCCGGCGGCCCTCGCGCCAGCAGCGCCACGTCCTCGCCGCTGTGCGTCTGCCCACGGCTGCCAGCTGCTGGTACCCGGGGGTACCTGCTCTGAGTTTCGTTCAGGTCTCGGCGGCTGCCCCCTCTCAGAGCTTAGCCCAGATGGTTGCCCTCCAGGATGGAGGTGTAGTTCTTGCCGTCCAAGGCCTTGCTCAGAGCCAGCGCAAAGATGGAGCTGCCCCTCATGTGTAGCCCCCAAAGGAGAAGATGGGGGTGGTCGGGGGTGACTGGGGTCAGCGTGTCCCGCTCGCTGGTGAGCTGGCCGCCCTCTCAATGGCAGTCTCAGTGAGTGCCTGATGAGCTACACCCTGGTGGTGACGTGCTCACGGTGGCCCCCCTCCACAAAGAGGAAGAAACCGAGGGGGTTCGGGCTCAGCAGGTGCATGGCAGCCTTGGTCAGGACCATCAGGGAGGGGTCCTGCTGGGGCTCTCCTTCGGTCTCATATTCCATGTCTGAGGGTTCAAAGAGACCCATGAGGTGGGTCAGCCTGCAGTCCTGAGCTGCCCGCATGAGCTTGCGTGGTGCCACACACACTGGGGCCCCTGCTGCTTTGTCAGCCACTCCTCCTGCACCAGGTTCTGCCCGTCCAAGCTGGTCCCATTCTGGCTGGAGTCACTTGGGTACTCAGGGCCTGGGGTCCCCTTAGGAAACATGTACTTGCGCCCCCGCCCAGGATCTTCTTGATGTCCGTGTTGGAGACCACGTGTGTGGCAGTGTCCTGGCAGCTCTGCTGCAGCACCGAGGCAGGCAGTGGTACCAGCACCGAGTACCAGTTGTGGTTCACAGTGAGCACCTGTGTTCTGCTGGTGAGGTGTGCTGCACCAGGTGGTGTCACCAGCACCCCACCCATTTCCCTTCTTGGCCCTGTACATCCCCGAGAGAGCACCTCGTTGCCCTGGATTGTGTTGTACTGGTCGTAACCAGGCCAATGGTCTTTACATTGGCCTTGACCACGCACAGGTAGGCTGTGGCTATGCCAGCACTCTCTGGCACCTATTTTTCATGTTGTAGGTCTTGGATGGAGCAGGTGTGGGAAGTGGCCCATGGCAGAAGGTATCTCGGGCCCCAAGTTGCCCCTCATCTGCCCCTTAAGGACCATGTGGCTGTCACTATGGAAACCCCCATCCCGGCTCCCAGGAAGAGGATGGGGTTCTTGGTGGCCTTCTGGATGGGGTGCATCTTCCTGATGGCAGCCAGGGCCTCCTTTGCCTCTTGGTTCCAGACGTCTGGGCAGGCTGAGGCCTCAGGCTCAGGAGCGGTGACAGCAGCGGCAGCAGCCAGGTCCCCTGCTGGACTGGATGGTGTCGGTGCGGCCAGCCCAGGACACCGGGCCTCCCCACCTCCATTCTTTATTGAAGGTTAGCGTGTAGACTTCCTTGAGGACCTTCTGACGTAGTGGGGTGAGGAGCTACCAGGGATCAGGACAGACCTCAGAGACAGTGAAAGTCCTGACTGAGTCAGGACATGGGTGAGGAGCCTGCTCCACCGGGAGACTGCCCTGTGGGCCTGGGCCTGTCCACAGTGAAGTCCTGCTATTGAATTAATAAGCCTGGGAAGTGAGCCTCTCATTTCTTCAAAAGTTCAGTGTGTGTCACTGCTTCACCTATAAATGAAGCCACTTAGAATAAAAAGCAGAGGGGCCAACGCTGCGGCTTAGGAGGTTAAGCGTCTGTGTGTGGCAAAGCAGCCCGTAGGGGCTCAGGTTCGAGTACTGGGAGCTCTATTGCCAATCCAGCTCCCTGCTGACAGCCTGGGAAAGCAGTGGAAGATGGTCCAAGTGCGTGGACCACTGCACCAACCTGGGACACCCGGAAGAAGCTCCGGTCTTTGATTTCCACTGTGACCGTTGTGGCCATTTGGGGAGTGAATAGGCAGGTGGAAGACCTCCCTCTCTGTTTCTCTCTATTTCTCTGTGTGTCTGTCATTCTGCCTGTGAAATGAATGAATCCATCTTTACTAAAGAGAGACTACGTAGAGAAGATCCTCTGGGGGAAATTCTAGGGGGACGATCTAGAACACACCTGGGGACTCAGAGTCGCCCACTTTCCTGTCTTGCAGCCATGACGCCTGAGAGCTCCGGCCCCCAGAACCCCAGCTGCCACATCATGACATTCTACCCAACCATGGAGGAGTTTATGGACTTCAACCAATTTATCGCTCAGATGGAATCTCAGGGTGCACACCGAGGAGGCCTGGCCAAGGTCATCCCACCCAAGGAGTGGAGGGCCAGACAGAGCTACGACGACATGGATGACATCTTGATAGCCCGCCCCCTCCAGCAGAAGGCCTATGGCGGGGCAGGTGTCTTCACTCAGTTCCACAGAAAGAGGAGAGCCATGACCCTGAGACAGTATCGCCAGCTGGCCACCAGCACAAAATACCAGACCCCAGCGCACCTGACTTTCGAAGAGTTGGAGCAAAAGTACTGGAAGACCCGTGTCTACGATGCCCCGATCTACGGCGCTGGCATCAGCGGCTCTCTGTTTGATGAAAACACGGCACACTGGAACCTCAGGCGCCTGGGCTCGCCTCTGGACCTGCTGGCGCAGGAGTGCGGCGTCGTCATCGAGGGCGTCAACACGCCCTACCTGTACTTTGGCATGTGGAAGACCACGTTCGCCTGGCACACGGAGGACATGGACCTGTACAGCATCAACTACCTGCACTTCGGGGAGCCCAAGACGTGGTACGCGGTGCCCCCGGAGCACGGGCGGCGCCTGGAGCGCCTGGCCGGGCAGCTGTTCCCGGGCAGTTCCCGCAGCTGCCAGGCCTTCCTGCGGCACAAGGTGGCCCTCATCTCGCCCAGCGTCCTGCGGCAGAACGGCATCCCCTTCCGCCGCGTCACTCAGCAGGCTGGCGAGTTCATGGTGACCTTTCCTTACGGCTACCACGCGGGCTTCAACCACGGCTTCAACTGCGCCGAAGCCATCAATTTCGCCACCCCGCGCTGGATCGACTATGGCAAAGTGGCCTCCCAGTGCAGCTGCGGGGAGGCCAGGGTCACCTTTGACATGGACCCCTTCGTTCGTATCCTGCAACCCGAGCGCTACGAACTGTGGAAACGCGGGCAAGACCGTGGCGCTGTGGCCCTCCCGGAGCCCATGGGCCAAACAAGCCAGGATCCACACACTAGCCGGGAGCCAGGCACCAGCCAGCCGCTTCTCACCAGCCAGGGGCCAAGCCTCAGCCAGGAGCCACGCAGCAGTGAGGAACCTCACAGCAGCCAGGAGCTTCTCACCAGCCAGGGGCCAAGCCTCAGCCAGGAGCCAGGCACCAGTGAGGAGCCATGCAGCAGCCAGAAATCACGCCGCTGCCTGAAGCCGCGCCCCAGCCACGCGTTGTGCACCAGCCAGGAGCTGACGGCCTGTAGGCAGGATCGCGGGCTCTGGAGGGCTGCCCTGGGCCTCAGGCAGCTTTCCTCGCCCCAGGCTAGGTCCACTGGGCCTGTGCCGGCCTCTGGTAGCACCCGTCGAGCTGCTCCTGTGGGCCCCGGATCTCAGTTGGCTCTGGGCCGCAGCAGTGATGTCACACTGCACACTGACCTTCGCAGGTCCAGGCAGCCCGACCTGGCCTGGTTACCGACTCCAGCTCTGTCTGCCGAGGCTGTGTGCCTGTCAGCTGCTAGACCTGGTCATGGTAGTGGTCGGCGTCCTCGGCCACTGCAAGCTGAGGAGCCCAGCCTGGAGGTTCCACCCAAGAGGCGGCTGTTGTCCCCCTCTGCACACACCGATGCTGGCGCCGAGGCTCCGCCCCTGCCCAGTGATGGAGCTTCAGAGGTCAGTGCTACTCAGAGCCCTGAACGCCCGTTTCCTGCCAAGGCTTCGGGATGTTGCTGCGCCCCGGATCTTCAACCCTTGGGGCCCCTGCTGGATCCCCATGCCCCGATGCACCCGGGCCCCTGCCTGCTCTCCTTGGACAGCATCACCGTGGGTCTCCCTGACGTGGTGCCGCTGACTCCTCCCAGCACCAGCGTGCAGCCATTCAGAAGCTTCTGCAGGGACACTGCTGGGGACTGGGCGTCTCCTGGGAATCAGGCAGAGGATGGGGTGGTGCGCCGCACTTGCGCCTCCAGAACCTTGGCTGCGTCTGTGCTTGTCCCCGGCCCTGGTGTGCCTGATGCTAGTCCCCTCTGGCTCAAGCCACAGGGAGGCGCTTTCTGGTGGCATGAGCCAAGTTCAGCACCAGTGAACGCTCTTCAGCCCCTGAGCCCTTGACCATCTGCTCTGTGACTGTGCAGTGGCCCCTGACCCTCAGAACCTGTAAAGTTCCCAGCCACGGGAGCATTCGTCCTGGCCTGTCCCCACTGGAGACCTAGTACCTGACTGGCATTTCTGATTTCTGCCTGTTATGTATTCCTCGTGCAAAGAGAAACGAGAACTCCTTGGCGTGTTTTTCAACTTAAATTGTATATGAAGCAGAGTAGATGAAAGGTAGTCAATGATTGTATTTTTGTATTCTTGTTGCTGAAGTTGTTTGAATTGCTCAAATAAACTTCACTGAATGAATTTAGTGTAAGTTTTTTCTCTAAGCTGGTTTAAAAAGAAAATGTAGGAATAAGCTTATCCTAGCAATGCAGTCAGAACAAAAGTGATAGGATCAAGTACTCATGAATGCCAATGGCAGCTGACAAAATTCAAGCCTAGGTAGGCCTTGTTTCAAAACATACCACCACGAGGAAGCTGCATACCCTCTGAAGATGCAGACTTTTTATTTAGTTACTATTTAGTACCAAAGTCAGCATTTTACTGAAGAAGAAATACTTGATACATGTCTAGCAAAATATATAGAATTTAGAGGCATCCCTAATACAAAATGAAGGTTATATGTGCAGGAAGGCAGGTGGCAAAATGTATTTTGTTGTTGCAGTTGGTAGAAACGGAATAGTAGGACAACCCGGGGTGGGGAGAGTCTCGTCTTCCTTTTCTCCCCTGATCTTCACCCTAAGAGGGATTCTTGGCTGCCCAGAATTACAGCCCCAGACTCTTTAGTAAAATGCTCACGGGCATGTCGGCCATGAGGAAGCAGATGATAAGTTTATTTTTTTTTAATTTAGTTATTTGCTTGAAAGTCAGTGTTAAACAGAGAGAGAAGGAGAGGCAGAGAGAGAGAGAGGTCTTCCATCTGCTGGTTCACTCCCCAATTGGCCACAAGGGCCAGAGCTGCGCCGCTCCAAAGCCAGGAGCCAGGAGACTCTTCCAGGTCTCCCACGGCTACGCAGGGGCCCAAGCACTTGGGCCATCTTCACTGCTTTCCCAGGCCACAGCAGAGAGCAGGATTGGAAGTTTAGCACCCTGGACTCAATCGGCGCCCATATGGGATGCTTGCAGGACTGGCAGTGGCTTTTCCCTGCTATGCCACAGCAGTCTCCCTGCATATGCAAATCGGAATGACATACCACTACACTCTCACTCGATTGGACAACACTCAAAAGTTGATACTCATCCAGAGCTTGACAAAGTGAAAAGCGTAAATTGTCCTCCTAGGCAGAGAGTGTTTCAACTGATACAAACTTGGGCAAAACAGTTTGAATGGTCAAGTGTGCATTCACATACACGTTTTCCAAGACATACACGTTTTCCAAGATCTATTCGAAAGGCAGAGTTAGAGTATTCATGCATTCGAAAGGCAGAGTTAGAGAGAGGCAGTGATCCTCTGGTTCACTCCCTAATGGCCTCAACCTCCAGAGCTGAGACGATCCTAAGCTAGGAGCCAGGAGCCAGGAGCTGCTTCTGCATCTCCCATGTGGGTGCAGTCCTGGGGCCATCCTCTGTGGCATACCCAGGTACAATAACAGGGAGCTGGACCTGATGAGGAGTAGCCCGGACTGGAACCAGCACCCATGTGGGATGCTGGCCCCATAGGTCCTAGACATCGGCTTTACCCGCTGTGCCACAGCGCCGGCCCCTTCCACAGAGCTTTGAAGTACACTTGAATGAGGCTGCTGCCAGCACATGACATGCTGGTTGACAATACACATTTTTATGAATAGAATGAGCACACTGAAATTAGAATGAAAAATGAATACATACATTAGAAATAGTTGTTTATCGTCAAGTCCTGCGTGCATAAGACACTATTTCAATGCGTTTTCATTAATTTAATAAGAATGTAGCGGATGTATCAAATTGCACATATTAATGTGATTCTGTGTGATGTCTTGATGCATGTGTACATTGTGTAATAGCTATTCATGGGACTGGTGCTATGGCCTAGCGGGCACACCACCACCTGCAATGGCAGCATCCCAAATGGGTGCCAGTTAGAGTCTCAGTGCTGGGTAGTTAGCCGCATACCATAATCACTTTTTGTCTTTTTTTTTTAAAAAAAAAAACAGGTTTTTGGTATGTAGTCACATATACAACTTGTGTTTATTAAGTGGTGTTCTTTTAATTTATTTGAAATGCAGAGTGACCGAGAGAGGGGAAGAAACAGAGCAAAGAGGAGATCTTCCAGGGAGGCTAGCAGGGAGCTGCATTGGAAACAGAGCAGCCAGGAGTCCCGCACAGCTGTGGGCTGCTGGAGCCCTAAGTGGAGGCAACACAGCCTCAGCTCCACCTTCTTCACTTTAGTCCTTTCCTACTGAACTCACTTGAATCCTTTCTACTGAATGCGTCTTTTTCTTAACTATGAAGGATCTTCCAAAAATTGCTAGAAATGTATTAAGAGGCTGGCGCCGAGGCTCACTTGGCTAATCCTCTGCCTGTGGTGCTGGCAGCCCCGGTTCTAGTCCCAATTGGGGCGCTGGATTCTGTCCCAGTTGCTCATCTTCCAGTCCAGCTCTCTGCTGTGGCCCAGGAAGGCAATGGAGGATGGCCCAGGTCCTTGGGCCCTGCACCCACATGGGAGACCAGGAGGAGGCACCTGGCTCCTGGCTTGGGATCGGCACAATGTGCCAGCCGCAGCGGGATGGCCATGGCAGCCATTTGAGAGGTGAAACAACAGAAGGAAGACCTTTCTCTCTCTCTCTGTCTCTCTCTCTCTCTCTCTCTGTCTAACCGTGCCTGCCTTCCTATAAATAAATGAAGAAAGAAAGAAAGAAAAGAAAAAGAAAAAAAGGAAATGTATTAAGAAAATCCATGTTTCTATATCAATTTTAATACTAAAATAATTGTATTTTTAAAAGGAATTTTGCAAATCTTTGAAAAGGACTTTTGTGTAAAATGTCCCCTTAGGGGCCTGTAGGGTGACAGAAAGGATTAGTTCACACCCTACAGGGCTGACCTCCCATAGTGCTTGTTCTGGCCACTCCCCTTCCTCTCCAGCTTTCTGCCACTGCACCTGGGAAAGCTGTGGGAATGGCCCAAGTACTCCAGCCCCTGCCCCTCTTGGGGGAGACCAGGATGGAATAGCTGGCCCCTGGGTTCAGTTGGCCCAGCTCTGACTATTTTTTAAAAGATTTATTTATTTGTTTTGAAAGACTTATAAAGAGAAAGAAAGAAAGAACTTTCATCTGCTGGTTCACCCCCCAGATGGCCATAATGGCCAGTGCTGGAACAGGCTGAAGCTGGGAGCCAGGTCCTTCATCCAGGTTTCCCACAGGGTGGTAGGGGCCCAAGTACCCGGGTCATACTCTGCTTCTTTTCCTAGATCATTAGTAGGGAGCAGGATGTGAAGTAGTGCAACCAGGACCTGAATCAGTACGTACATGAGATGCCAGTTTTGCAGGTGACAACGTCACCCATTCTGCCACAACACCAGCCCGAGTATGAATTTTTAAACTGAAGTGTTTGTTGTTGCCATGTCATATTTCCAATCCCTTCCCCAAAATTTGGATCTCTACCACAGTTAGATTTTTTTTTTTTCAATGAGAATTGTGTATTTGGGGATTTTGGCTTTCAAGATTTCAGTGTTTGGAATTTCAATCATTTGGGATTGTGACTTTTGGGACTTCAAATTTTAGGGATTTTAGACACCAGGGACTTGATCTTTGGGACTATAGTGTTCAGGATTCTGTGTTTTGGAATTATGATGAGCACTGCTGGAAGGGATGCGCCATGTTCAGAGAACTTGACACTCACATCCATTGCTTGTAGGAATGGAAAAATACATAGCACTCTCCCTTTTTTGGAAATCTAATAAATTGCCTTTATTTCTTTTTTTAAACAACATTTACTGTTCTAATGAGATGTGTATTTAAAGATTTTTTTCTAATGAAACAGTTATTTAAGGAATACAAACTTCATGCATTTCATAAGTACAGCTTTAGGTATATAGTGATTCTTCCCACCGTACCCACCCTCCCACACCATTTTCTGCTCCCTCTCCTATTTCCAGTCTTATTTTTTACTAAGATCTATTTTCAATTAACCTTATACACAGATTAACTCTAGGCTAAGTAAAGAGTTCAACAATTCATATGAAAAAAAAAAAAACTGTCCCTCAATAATTGAGACAAGGGCTGTTCAAAGTCATTGCATCTCAAAGTTGGTTTCACTTCTTTTTTTCTGTTTTGAGAAATTTAATTAACTTTAAAGAGGCACCCAAGAATTATATATTTTCACAAACACTTAGACATAGCTGTGATTTATGAGACATAAGAATATCCTCCACTTAATACATTAAAAGAAAGTAAGACTTTGGGAACAAGTTTTATCATTAATTAAAGAAGCATCTAAGAAGACAAGCACTTGAGTTGGACACTTTGGCATAACTAAAACTTATGAGACTTAAGAATATCCTCTACTTAATACACTAAAACAAAATAAATCTTTGGAAATAAATTTTCTGCTAATTCTCATAATACAACTCTTTGAGGACAGAGGTCCTGCATGGGAAGTTAGTGCACAGTGATTCCTGTTGTGTTAACACTCTTATGTATGATGTCAGTAATCACCCAAGGCTCCTGACATGAGCTGACTAGACTATGGAAGCCTTTTGAACCCACAAACTTGGTCAGTATTTAGACAAGGTAATAAACTAAGTGGAAGATCTCTTCTTCCTTCAGAGAAAAAAGTACATCCTTCTTTGAAGACCACTTCTTTCCACTGGGGTCTCACCCACAGAGGTCCTTCAAGTAAGAAAATTTTTGCCACAGTATCTTGGCTTCCATGCCTGAAATGCTTTGTGGACTTTTCCGTCAAACCAGAATGCCTTAAGGGTTGATTCTGAGGCCAGGGTGCTACTTAAAGCAATTATCATTCTATGAGTCACAGTATGGACTGCTTTCCATGTTGGAGCAGTCACCCCTTTTTAATTCTATTTATTATTATTACCAAATATTTAAGCCTATTTACATGATCACTTTAACACTTTATCCTATCTATATGAGCACTTTAACACTTAATCCTATCCATATGAACATTTAAAATGCTATTATTACTGCCCAGCTATAGAGGATTTGGAGTTCCATGGCTAGTTTTTAAAATGTACCCTTAGAGATAAGTACACAGGAATGTATGCAGAACTACACAGCTTTACAGTTACAAAC